TACTTTGTGTTGCGCGTTTGCTGGAGGAGGAGGAGGAGGAGGAGGAGGAGGAGGAGGAAGGGTTTGTGAATGCCAGGTATATGAGTGCACAGTTGCTTGTCAGATCATTTGGCATCAAATGCAAAATGAAAAAAGAAACTTCTGTTGTCATAACTATTCATGCCACTTCATTGTTTACAAACTACAGATGGTTGCAGGAAATAAAGAAAAGTCTTTCAATTTTATGTTTTCATATCTACAGGCGTTCATGTTCTGTGTGGATTTTGTTTGTTCACAAAGGTTGGATTCAGATTCTAAATATATACAGAAACATTGAGGAACAGTTTCTTTACTCATCCTAAGCATTTAGTTTGGTTTCATAATGTTCTTTCTGGGGGTGGGGAGATTCTTATGAAGTAAATGTGACTTTCATTAACAAATAAAGGCAGCAGTTCTATAAGTGCTTAATGGAGAAGTGTGGGGCTTGCTTCTGAGTAAACCTAAAGCTGTTGAAATGCAGTTTCGATTATGGTGATCTGACACTTTTCTGCTAGTGCCCCTAACTTTTAACACAGTTTATTTCTTAAAATTCTAATCTCTCCACCACTTCTCAGCAACTTTCAATTGCTGTCTTCTTTCTATCTTGTGCAGCCAATTGATATTATAATGCAAAAGGGCTATCTGTCTTTCTCAGCTCTGGAATCTATCTGAAATTTTGAGTATCATGATTGTGATGTAGTGGTTAAGGTGTTGGACTGACACCAAAGGAACCTGAGTTCAAGTCCAACCTCAGGCACAGTGATTTTGGGGTGGTCATTCTCCCTAAAGGCCTGATCTACCTCGCTGGGTGTTATTGAGAAAAATGAAGGAGGCAACTCTATGTCTGCTACCTTGAGCTTCTGAAAAAAAGGCAGGGTATACATCTAATAAATAAATGTATGATTTAATAATATGACTTTCTAGGTGAATGTGGCCCTGGGAAAAAAAAATGGTGATAATGAAGTGTAAAAGGTTTTGCCTAAGAAACAAAATATATAAGGACTGAACATAAAATCAATTTTAACCTAGTAATAACCTAGTAATTTCTATTGTAACATCCATTTTATTGATGGCAGATGGTTGAGGTTCAGAGATGAAATTATCAAGAAATTTAGTACAAGGCAGAGGTTGAATCTGGGTCCCAGTTTCCTAAGCTCTTTGTGCTCAAATAAACCATCACAGACAAAAGATACACATATCCCAAAAACACAAATACACTCAGATAAAATGCCATTTCAAAGCAAAATAAAAATAGGCATCACATATACAACATGGGCAAAATATCCTTCTTGCTCCTTGCTCTTGCATCTTTTCATTCTCCCAGGATAACTCCCTTCTTCCCTAGCTTTCCATGTTGATTCTTTAGTTCTGGATGTTATTGTCTTAACACATTTGGCAAATCCCAGCTTGGAAAAAGCTGACTTTCCTCACAGAGGGGTGAGGACAACACATCTTTATTCTGGACTGTTGCCTAACCTTTTGGAGCTCATAGTGTTTTGAGAGGATATTCTGCATGTTCCCCCAAAATGGCTGTCATGGGAGAGTTTGCTCATTCACAAAATAGCTTCTGTGGCAGTCATAATCTTTCACAAATCTCAAATCTCCTTAAGCAGAAGACAGATCATCAGCAGCAGCTATTATGGACTGTTGGCTGTTGGTTTTGGTTTTGGTTATGGACTGTTGATTTTATGTAATTGTGAGTTACCCAGAGTCTATGACTGGGGCAGCATATAAATTTTAGTACATAAATAAATGGTTGTATCTTCTAGGAATTAGTTTCGCTCATTCTGGATGAAGAATGCAGGAAGAGACTGACTTCTGCATGCAGCAAGGACCTTCAGGATTTCCCAGAGACCCGTGGTCCTGTGATCCTGGAAGTTGGCTGTGGCTCAGGAGCAATTGGTTTAAGTCTTTTGAAAAAGCTTCCTCATGTAAGTTACATTTCATTAGATGATTAAATAATGCTAACCTCCTCCTTTTCAATTGGGGAAAAAATGAACAAGGAGAAAAAGAAGAGCCACTTAGATTTTGTGATCTAAAGCCTGATAGGCAAGTTCAAATTCCCATTTTCATTTTCAAGTCCTCTTCTTTTACCTTGATTTTCTGCTTTCAATGCTCATCTCTTTTGGCCCAGTAGGAAGTTAATTAATCTTGGTTAAATAAAACCAGGCAAAACCTATTGGCATGTGAGAGTATGAACATAGCAGTTGTCTGCAATTTTTAAAAGAAATAGTGTCTTTTTCCAGGATCATTGGCTGCACTCTGCATTGCCCCATGATCCTGGAAAAAAACACAGCTGCTTTACAGAGTTTCAGACAAGTGTGGTCTGCACAAACTCCAGATTGCTTCCTTAGAATTGAATCTGAAACAGTAAACAGCCCTATTTGGCACTAGAATAATGTTGTTTCTGCCTAGAAGGCTTAGTTGGAAGGTTACAGTACCTACTGGACAGAAGGGAATAGATGAATGAATGCATGAAAGCAAAAGAAAGAAGGAAGGAAGGAAGGAAGGAAGGAAGGAAGGAAGGAAGGAAGGAAGGAAGGAAGGAAGGAAGGAAGGAAGGAAGGAAGG